GCAAAAGTGGGGTTTGGGTTGCAGTTTGGGCACTCGGTCTCTAAAAGGTTCACCATTTTTGATTTAGGGGATACAACTTGTTACATTTATTGTAAAACATCAATAATACTCAGAAGGTACAATCTATAGTGTTTTGTTACATTTCTTGGGATCCCAACTGTATATAAAGTAATACATTTTGAAAAGGAAGTAGGAGAAATCCCATCAGGCTTCTAACAGGAGACCAAAATGGAAGAAGTTACAACACAAAAGTAGATGCTTAACATCCGGGCACAATCACACTGTTCATTCCCATCCTGATTTGTTAAACTATATTCTTTCTTTAAAGTCTATTGATTTTTAACCATTTTAGCCTTATGAGCCTCAGCACACCTTATGATTGTTAAATTAATCATCACTTGTACAAATAATGTGGGAGAAGAACAGAGAATTTAAAAGTGCAGTTTTAATTATTACTATCTCACAGCAAAATGGGGATTGGATACTTGGAAGTTATCCAAAATCCAGAGAGATATATTGAATAAGATTAATAAACTAACTTGGAGACTTGTCAGGGTGGAGGCAGCCAGCAGAGAAGCTGACTTCTAACTCAGCAGCTGATAATAACATTTTAATAAGATGATAGATGTTTATGAGTAAGCCAGTGTTGTAATCATTCCAATCCATGCAGCTACTTTTAATGATCTTTTAATTTCCAACTGTTTTGAATATATAGTGGGACTGTGCATGGTTCAGAAATGTTTTGAAATAAGTACTTTGGACTTATGCGTGAGCACAGTATTCTCTGTTTTCTACTAAAGCAGCCCTCTTTTTCAGACTTTGATACAGTTGCTTTAAGCATAGTTGGCTTCAACAATTCAATGCCTCAAAGAAGTTGTAGCTTTGTTCATGCTTAGTAGAAAGGTACTGTGCTCATATTAGAGCTAAAACATTTATTTAGATCATTTCCAAAGCAATTGTAGGAACAGAACAGAACAGAATAGAGCTGGAAGGTACCTTGGAGGTCTTCTAGTCCAGCCCCCTGCTCAAGCAGGAGAACCTATACCATCTCAGACAAGTGATTGTCTAGAGTCTAGACTCTTCTTAAAAACCTCCAGTGATGGAGCACCCACAATTTCTGAAGGCAAGCTGTTCCATTGGTTAATTGTCCTCACTGTCAGGAAGTTTCTCCTTAATTCCAGGTTGCTGCTCTTTTTGGTCAGTTTCCATCCATTGGTTCTTGTCTGCCCTCTGGTGCTTTGGAAAATAGTTTGATGCCCTCTTCTTTGTGGACTGCTATCATGTCACCCCTATTTCTTCTTTGGTTTAGACTAGCCAAACCCAAGTCCTGCAGCCATTCTTCATATGTTTTAGTCTCCAAGCTTTTGATCATTTTAGTTGCTCTTCTCTGAACTTTTTCCAAGGTCTCAACATCTTTTTTGTAGTAGGGTGACCAAAATTGGTTCCAGGTGTGGTCTTACTAGGGTTTTATAAAGCGGTACTAATACTTTGCATGATCTTGATTCTATGCCTCTGTTTATACAACCCAGGACTGTATTACCTTTTTTGGCTATGCTGCATACTGCTGGTTCATAGTCAAGTGATCATCCACTAGGACTCCAAGATCACTCTCACAGTTACTGTTTTTAAGCCAGGTCTTGCCCAATCTGTACTTGTACCTTTGATTTTTTTCTGCCTTTTACATTTAGGCAGAAATTCATTGTGTTGGATATGGCCCACTGTACAAATTTGTCAAGATCTTCTTGGATCCTGAGTTTGTCTTCTGGGTGGTTGGCTATTCCTGCCAGTTTAGTGTCATCTGCAGATTTGATGAGGTCCCCTTCTATTCCCTCATCTAAGTCATTAATGAAGATATTGAAGAGTACTGGGCCTAAGACAGAACTTTGTGGTACCCCACTTCTTACTCCTCTCCATGTGGATGTAGTGCCATTGAGGACTACTCGCTGAATACAGTTTGTCAACAGCTACAGATCCATCTGATGGTGTTGTTGTCTATCCCATCTTTTTCTAACTTGCTAAACAGCAAGTTGTGGTCTACTTTGTCAAATGCCTTACTGAAATCTAAGTATACTATGTTCACAGCATTTTGCTGGTCTACTGACTTAGTCACTTTATCAAAGAATGAAATAAGATTGGTTTGGCATGATCTGTTTTTGAAAAACCCCTGCTGGCTACTGGTTATAACTTTGTTTGCTCCTAGTTGTTCGCAGATCTATTTTTTTATTATCTTTTCTAGGATCTTCCCAGGTATTGATGTTAGACTGATTGGTCTGTATTGTACCAGTTTGGTCTGTATGTGTACCATAACACATAGCAAAGTGCTACATGTTCTCCATTTATAAAAACAAACATTTTGTAGAAAAGTTACACAAATTCTGCATGTACATACAGTGATACATAGTTTTTCTCAGAATACTTAAAGCTTGAGCAAAGATTGAACAAGAGAGTCACTGTGGTATAGTAGTTAAGGTTACAGCTAGTCCTAGATAAGATTAGATATGGGAAAGCCCAAATTCAAATCAATTATAGATATGCCTGCAAGAGAAAATGTGTTTTGTTTTGAATCTAAAACAGTTGTTTTGCCAATCTGTTCTGAGTGATTTTTATGGGGGAAGGCTTCAGTGTCTTAACCTCTCTCTTCTACTTAGCCCATCCTGTCATGATATCTCTAGTGAGCCACTCACCCACTTGATCTTCCCAGATCTTCCCCCAACTGCTGCCAATCTCACGAATCTTCCTGATCTTCTCCTCCTCTGCACTTCTCTTTGGAACAACCTCATTTTAATCTGTGTCCAGAACAAAGCAGTCTTGTTTCCTTCCATACTCAGACCTTCATTCAGCTCAGGCATGAACCATTTAAAATCAGCTGTTCTGTACATGAACCAGTTTGTACATCCCTTAAATTTAGTCTCAGGCCTGGAAACACATCCACCCACTCACTAAAAGTGACTTTTAGCATACACACTTTGTCCAAGTTCCCCAAAAGGGAAGTTGCTGGGATACATTGGTGGTGGATTCACTGAATACATTGCCTTGAGCTCCTGGAAAGAAAGCAGAATGTAGATTTAACAGTGATAGAAAAGAGTGGTATAAATAAGATAATTTACCAAATACAGTGTAAGATAAAAACTGCGGTAATGGGGTTGATAACATCATCATAAGACTTGTTCGTTGATGAAAATACCAAATATAGGCTTGGTTCTGATGTTTGGCTTTTGTATTACTGTATCTACAGAATTTCAACTCTTTATTTACATAAGAACTGATCTTATTTGTTTATTTATATCCCGCCTTTATTTTTTATAAACAATTCAAAGCAGTGAACATATCTAACAGTACTTCCTCCTATTCTCATTACAACAACAACTTTGTGATGTGGGTTGAGGTGAGAGAGAACGATGGTCCAAGGTCATCCAGATGGCTTTTATAACTAAGGTGGGACTTGAACTCAAGAGTCTCCCAGTTTCTAGCCTCGTGCCTGAACCACTTTACAGGGTCAGTTCTTGCATTAGATATCAGGAGCATGAAATATGCATTTGCTTACTCATTGGGAAACTCTATTGATCAATATTCAAAATTGATTTTGTTTAAATTTAAGATTGTACATGGAAATTACAGTTGCAAGTAACCTGATTTTGGCACTGGTGAAGGCAGAATTGTCTTTGTTTTAATAAAACACCATGTACTGAGTCAATAGGGTTAAGTTTGAACCTGTCTTAGGAAGGGTGTGTTTCTGTTAATTAGCCTCACTGCATTTTTTGCAAACATATCATTTGCTTCTCTTAAACACTGGAAAGATGAAGTCAGGCAGAATCAATTAAAAAGTTACTCTGATGGTCAAAATTTGGTGAAGAGCTAATATGTAGCCAGTGACTGGTAAGGAAATATAAACATTTTAAAAGGAGGAAAAAAAACAATGGTTGTTTTATACTGTATTAGGCAATTTGGATCTCAAGTGTGCTTTTCATTACTCCTAAGTATCACATCTTAGAGCAAGAGTTACTAGTGCAGTTTAAGGGGTGCTCAGCATTTATGGATTGTAGTATGAAATTTATCAAGAATGCAGTGTACTTGCGACCTCATCGTGTAATTTTCAAGATAATGTTCACACACTCTTCCGTAGTATACCCACGATCTTGGAAGTTATTGAAGATGTTATTTGAAGTACTCTATATTCATAGATGTATGAGTAATAGATACATTGTTCCCGTCTGGTCTTTTTCATAACACTGTTGCAATATTCATGATTATTTATAAGTTGATTTTGTTTATATAAAATTACCCTTCAAGGAAATTTTTCCACAAGTTGTTAAAAAATGATGATCCAAGCCAAGTGTATGAGGAACTAATTGTTTTCAAATTTTGGGACTACTTTAATTCAAAAAGAATGGAGCTTAAATGTTAATATTTTTTTTAAAAAAAGAGGCACATATAGGATTATGTTTCATTGTCAAGAGTTAACATTTTTTTTTAATTTAGTTCAGTTTTTTATATTTATATGCATATTTTGGAAGTGAATATTGTTCATAAATGCACAGTTTCTGCAGATTTTTGAGAATGGGCTACTGAAATTGGGTAGTGAAGATCCAACTAACAGCTGCATGCTTTCCCATGATTGTTTTACAAAATAAAAACCCGTGTGATTTTTAAAAATCCTTATGAGACCTTTATTTCAGTGGCATTTCCTTTGAGTCAAACTTGACTTCTGGTGATTTCACAGACGAGTCATGTGATTTTCACAGCAAGAGTAAGAAGGTAGTTTGCCATTGCCTTCTTCAAGGATATATAAACAGTATTCCTCTTTTTTAAAAAAAGATGGCCAAACCCATAAATAGTCATACAAGCTACGGGTCATTGTTAAATGAGAGGGACAATCAATGATGTGATACTGTTGGTTGGATTTTCAGGGATAGAGAGGAAAAGGAATTATAATGACAAACCTTTTTTTTTTTTTTTTTTTTTTGGTAAAGTGATAGGATTTAACTGTTTGGTGTTCTTAATCCTTGGCAGGTCAGCTGGTGGTCTGCACCCTTTGTTCCTGTGTCATGAAAACCAAGCAGATCTGGCTCTTCTCTGCTCACATGCTCCCTCTGCTGGCCCGGCTTTGCTTGGTTCCTCTAGAAACTATTGTCATCATCAACAAATTTGCAATGGTGTTCACTGGCTTGGAAGTCCTCTATTTCCTGGCGTCAAACCTTTTGGTGCCAATCAATTTAGCAAAGTCTGCCTATAGAGAACTTGTCCAGGTAAGAGCTATTTTGTAAACGGTACTGATGGTATATATTTTGGGGGGAAAACAAACCTGGCCAGTGCAGTTTTTTTTTCTGTGGGTACAAGATAAATATAGGTAGTCCTCAAATTAGGAGCAGAGTTGGGATCAGAATTTTCGTTGCTAAGCAAGCCGCAAAAGGCTGCAGGTACTGATAATACCCCTGGGCGAGTACTTAAAGAGCGTCCGTAAGGATGCCTTACAGACATCTTCAATCTTTCGTTGCATCAGGTTGTGTGTTCCATCATGTTTTAAGACTGCAATCATTGTACTAGTGCCCCCCCAAAATCTATAATTACATGCCTTAATAAGTACCGTCCAGTTGCATTCACTTCCATTATGATGAAGGGTTTTGAGATGATGATGATGACGACGACGATAATAATAATAATAATAATAATATAGTAGTAGTAGTAGTAGTAGTAGTAGTAGTAGTAGTAGTAGTAGTAATAGTTGGAAGGGACCATCTAGTCCAACCTCCTGTTCAGGCAGGAAACCCTATACCCTATACCATTTTAGACAAATGGCTGTCCAGTCTCTTGGTAAAGGACTGTATTGTTTCATGCTTTCCCTCTACATTTGACTCATCACAGTTTGCCTATCGGAAGAACCGCTGTATAGATGATGCACTTTCCTGTGTGCTTCATCTTAGATTGGTGCACTTGGAGGAGAAGAATACTCATGTGCAAATGCTCTTTGTTGATTTTAGTTCGGCGTTCAACACAATCATCCCTCAGCATTTGGTGAACAAACTGGGCCTATTAGGTTTTAATACTCCTTTATGCAATTGGATACTTGATTTCCTTATTAATAGGCCCCAGTTTGTGCGAGTTGGAAGAAAAACGTTCAGTTCCATCTCCTCGAGTATGGGTTTCCCACAGGGCTGTGTCTTGAGACCATAACTGTTCATCTTGATGACTCATGACTGCTGTGCCAAGTCTGCTACGAATCATATTATGAAGTATGCGGATGACATGGCAGTGGTGCAGTAAAAATAACCTGGTTCTGAATATTAATAAAACAAAGGAGATCATTGTTGATTTTAGAAAGAACGGGCATAGTCATACTCCACTTTGTATCAAGGCTGCAGCTGTGGAAGTGGTCAACATGATTAAGTATCTGGGGGTGCAGATAACTAACAATCTGCCCTAGTCTCTTCATACATCATCTTTAGTGAAGCGTGCAAACCAGCGTCTGCATTTCTTGCAGGTGAGGAGAGCACCTCTTTCTCCTTATTTTTTACAATAATAATCTTTAGTGCTTAGTAAACAAATATATGGGTTCATATATTTAACAACAATCAATAATAGTTAATTTCTATGATTCCATAATCGACATACTAGCCAATGATACATTTCCTTGATCTTCTCTTCTTCCAATAGTATTTTCTTTTTGCCAAAATTGAGTGAATACAATTCTTAGTACTTTCAATACATACAAAGTTGAATGTAAACATTTTTCTAGTGTTTATACAAATAACAACATCAGTGTATACATCTTTTCTGATCAGTTTATGTTTTGGTTGTATTTGCTAAAAGTCATTTTATTAAATCACTATAGGTCCTGTTTTTGAAGTTCTTATTTAAGCTTAATTTCCCCTCAATATTCAAAACATTCTTGTCAATTATAATTTTCTCAAAATTAATTACATTTAAATGTCTAGACATTTTGCTCACATAAGCCATACCAATATTTTTACATTTCTCATATCATAAAAAAGTACTATACTATTCATAAATCACATCCTTCTTACTATAGAACCCATTTATATCCAGAATTTATCTATTTTTTAGCCATATTCAAACAAGTGTTTAGTGCAGACATGTCAAACACAAGGCCCGGGGGCCGGATGTGGCCCGCGAAGTGGTTTCATGTGGCCCGTGAAGCCATCCTGGAAACAGTGAGGGAACGGCCCCCACTGCCTTGGCCCTGGCCCAGGCCGGCTGGGAGCCAATGTACAATTTTGTGGTGGCCATCTATGCTGAAATGCATTCAGTCTTAGTTCCACAAGGCTGTCCAGAAACAGCGAGGAACGAGCCCCTGCCGTGTTGGCCCCACCCCCTGGGTGCATGCTGGGAAGGTGTCACCCTTTGTGAGGAATGAAGAAATGCACCATGCCTTGGCCCTTGCCCCGGTCCCACCCCCTTCTGCCAGAGACCCTCAGATCTGTCCCACTCCTGCCCAGGCCCCCACAGGCACCCTTGATGCAAACAATGTAGAGCTGGCCATGCCCACCCAGTAGGCCACACCCACTCCATCCACGCCCACCCAGTAGGCCGCACCCACCCTGACCACACCCACCCGGCCCCCGAAGGGCAACCGCAATGCTGATGCGGCCCTCAATGAAATTGAGTTTGACATCCCTGGTTTAGTGATATAGTACTCCCTCTGGTAGGTCAAGTCATCTCTAGCCTTCTTCTTTTGCCAGATAATTTTCCGAGTCAGTGTGTTCAGCTTGCTAGGGAATTCTTCCTGTATTTTTATGAATGTTATTAAGAATGGGGAAGACAGACTAGGTGGGGTACTTTTGAGGGGGAGTTTTGTCCATTTATATTTGTTAAAGAGCTTCCACTTTCCTTTTCCCTCAATTTCTCTTTTCATTTTTTGTCTCCCAGACTCTAGTGGTTCTGGCATCTTTATAATCCATTTTATCAGTTCTTCTTTCTTATCCTCTAGTTTATTTTGAAGTCCTGAAAGATAAAATGCCTTTTCCATTTCCAATATTATAACAGAATCTTGCAGATTTTTCTTTGCCTGTGCTGAACAGTAATTCCCTTCGTTTGTAGCTTCCATCTTTGGGTCACTTTCCTCTAATTTGTGTTCTATTGTCTTGATTTATTTGTTCATTCTTTGTCGTCATTTTTTGAGAGTTTTTTAGTTGTGAGTTTAGGTTAAAGATGTACTCATTTATGTCATCTAAATTATTTTTAATCTCATCATGGTTTGAAACAATTGTCATTTGAATTAGTTGCAACCCAGCATGCATTTCCTCCTGGAAGATATTTGCCTTGTCTTGAAGTATTACTCCTGTAGATCTTTGATGTTCCAGGCTGAGAGCTTCAGAAAAGAATCCTAGGTGTGGTTTCCTACCATTTTTAGTTAGGTATGCAACATCCATTTTATCTCTCCCCTCCAAATGATCTTTCACAGGTACCATAATACCCATATATTAGTCTTATCCAACCAACCAATCTTAAGGTCCAGTAACAAAGTCTTGTATAATTCTTATCTTTATGTATGGCCTTTATAGTCCAGTGTGTTTCCAATTGTCAATCCACCACTAAAAGCAATATTTTATAACGGTTCTTCTGCTCAGGGGTCCTACAATTATCAGTCAGCCAAAATTTGCAGTCCAAAATATTCAATTACTTCAGGAGCTTCCCTCCTAGAAGACTAGCCAAAAGTTAGTTTTTCTTTCTCTGCAAACAGTTCTTGAGCCTGAAAAATCACAGCTCAGTAAGTGTTTATAATCCAGGAAGGTCAGCATTTTTTATAACAATTATAGTTCTCACTCTGTAGTAGATAGCCCAACGTATTTTCTCTCCTTTGTTCCCAGCTGTTCTCTGTTTAGCTGAGAGTCACTGAGGATCAAAGGGACAGGTTATCTGTTTCTGGGCGTCTTGCCAATTTCTAAGCCAAAACAGCTATAATTTTATACTCTAATCCACCACTAGGTGTCAGTAACTGTTCATTTTCCAACTTTTAAAACAGAAAATTATTTTCTTGTAGATTCATCAGTACTCTTTCAAAGGGAAAATCTTAACAATTACCACAATTTTCAGGTTTATCCAGACTATAGCTTTATATTAAGTTCCATTTCAATAAGTTTCTGTTCCCCATAAAAATTAGAGCCACTTCTGTCTATGGAAGGGTGGGACTATAATCCCCTTCCTTCTCACTTTTGGAGGGTCTTTTGCTTCTTGGGGATCTTTTCCAGAAAATCAGTTGCAAGATAGAAGAGAAAATATCAATACTCTGACCCAGTTTCAAACACGCTGTTCACAGTCTGTTCTAGTTAGTGCTTTTGGACTTCGGCTGCCAGTAGCTTGGGCTAGTCACTGAGGTACAACTAGCCTTTCTCCTGTTGGTTTGGAGGGCTTCCCCCGGATCAAATGGATCGACCGCCGTCTCTCCATGATCAGTGGGGGGGCCCCTCCTTCGTCCCTCTCCGGTGACGGGGTGACTTTAGACCTATTTAGGGTCCCCTGGCAGGACAAAATCAGTCGTGGGGTGCGGAGCTATGCAGTCCCTTGGCTGCACTGCTACGACACAAAACCGGAAGTACTGTCCTGGCCACTTTTTACAGAGGCACAATTGAGAGCGTTTTAACAAGCTGCATCACTGTTCGGTTTGGTGGTAACAGAGCCTGAGATAGAAGGTCCATACAGAGAGTGGTAAGGACAGCTGAGAAGATTATAGGAAGCCGGCTTGCCGTTATTCAGGATACTGCTACTCGAAGCCTTGTTAGAGACCCCACACCCCCACTTCACGGTTAGTTTCTGCTTCTTCCCTCTGGGAGGAGGCTTCGAAGTATTTTTAGCAGGACTACTAGATTCTGCAACAGCTCTTTATGCCATCCCTCTTGTAAATTTGCAGGATTCTTTTTTCTCACCATGTATATGTGTACATCCGAACTAGACTATGTTGTTTCTCTGTATTATACAGTATATGTGTGTGTATATGCATACACTTTTGTCATATTTATGTGGTGTATATTGGAGGTGGTTACCCTTTGAGAGCTGAATGCAATGAAAATTCATTTTAGTATATGCTGATTAGTTACATTTAAAATGACAAAGTTTATTCTATTCTATTCTATTCTATTCTATTCTAGTTGTAAAGTGACTCATGCCCTTTTTTGTGACTGTTAAGTGAATCACTATAGTTGTTAAGTAAGTCATGTAGTCGTTAAGCAAATCCAACTTCCCACATTGACCTTGCTTGTGGGAAACTGGCTAGGGAAGTTGCAAATTGTGG